AGCTGCTCTCTTCTAAACAGAGTATTCAAATGCTTTATTCAAAATCCTTTTGGATGCAAACTAAAAATAAGATGATTTTAAAGTACTGATGTTCTTGAAAATATTATACATGGTTGGGATTTTTTTTGTTTACTTAAAAGACTTGTTCATACAAGAAGCAGCAGGCTCCTCTTCTACTTTTCCTTAAATTGGTGGCAAAACCCATTCTGACTTCAGAAGGAACAGGATCAGACCTATAGTCAAAGTTTAGCAGCATTGGGACAAATCCCACAGTTCTTACTCTCACTTCTCTCAGACAAAATTCCCATCACCTTTAGGGTCTGGAGCACAAATGCTAGCTCTGTGCTGAAGAGATTCCAGTGTACCAGATTGCATATAATATGAATGTGCATGAAATACTACACGATAAACACTGATGTAAAGAACAGTGTCTGTCTGTCCTTTCACGGATTTTGAAGTCACAGAAGGGAAACACTGTTACGATCATTTCTTCTGGGGTGTTGGGCTAATGCAGGGCGTGGAATTTCACTCAGTAATTCCTGTATCAAGCTCATAACTTCTAGATAGATTTAAAGCGTGTTCCTAATTAGTCCAAACTCCTCCCTTTAGTACATATTTAATGTAGATGACTTAACTGTTTAGCCATTTGTATGTCCATTATACAGTAAGAATTGCAAATTTAGTAGTAGAAAGGTCTTCATTTGGGACACACACACGCATTTAATGGTATTTGGTGATGACAGTACAGAGATTATTTTCACCAAGTTATTTTCTTCCATTGTATTCAGTCCTCTTCACTAATGTATATGAAAAATTTACTCCATGCTGCTAGATACTTTGGCAAGCCTGTTTTTTTTCTTAGGGCTGCCTGTTTGAGTAACTAGTGTGACAGTAACGAGGGTTTTTTATAATTGAGGAAATTATATGGTGACAGTTTTAATTGTATATTCTGTTAATGTAACAAATTATTACATTTACAATAAATACAGCGTTTTATTACCTTCATGCATGTGCATATATACAGAGAATTATGCACTATAGTAGGAGAACGTTGCTAAGATTGCAAAACTATGCATCTGAAACTTGTGTTTGTACATGTAATTACACCTTCTTGTAGTGTATGCCATCTGATACAGTTTTTAATTACATAGTCGCCTGACCCTTTTTGCCGCTTATCCTTGCTTTGTTCATTGTCGAGGTCTTCACTGAATGGGAATTGCTTCATTCTGGTTGTTTAGTTTGTGGTCTTAAGCCACTTTTTCTTCACAGCCTTCAGGCTCCTCTCTGGAAACAGGTTTCTTCATTGCCTCTTCTGCTCTTTCCAGTGATGTGGCTGATAACCACATATTCATATTCACAAATACTAAGTCATCTTCTGCTCACTGTTGTGAGCAATGGTGGTATCATGATTCCTGTGAGGAATGAGGTAGACCAAAAAGACAATGAAAAAAATAACTACTGTTTTAAGATAGTTTAAGGTTGATCTCCTTGTAATAGAGAGGTCGTGGAAAAACACTTCAAAAAGCTGAATCTGGGAACAGAACTCTTAACTTAAAGAACTCTTAACTCTAACACTTGAATGTTCATTGAGATAACTAAAACCAGGAACCCGAACTGCATTAGGTTTCACAGTGTAGGGCTTTATTTGTCACAAGGAGCGAGTACCATCTGCTTACTCCACGGCTGGCTTCAGTTATTGAGTACTGGGTGTCCAAGACGATTTCTTGCAGAACAAATCTTCCTGGCATACCTCTGCCTGCATCGTCCAGCTTCAGCAGCTGGAATCCAAATATAAGCATCAAAAGCAAAAGAATTATTAGAATGTGAGTGCACAGATTCAACAGATGTGGTGACATAATTTACTGTTGTCTCACTTGTTTCCCGATTCTGAGAATTCAAAGTTCTCAGATTTCAAGTTCTCAGTACTTTGTTGTACATGTAAAGCATGTCTTGCAATAGAAATACGCATTTCAGGGATGTGCATGTTTTCAGTACTTTTTGCTTTGCGTTTTTATGGTGCATATCTAGTATGCACCATTTTTTTCCACTGTATTGTAGTTGTGATTCACAATGCAGGAATTTTTGCAAATGATGACATTATATAGTAAATTACAGCCCTTGAAACCTGATTTTAGTTTTCTAATACAAATCAGTAACTCGTTTACTTGAAAGATGTTTTTGCTAGCATCTTTATTCTGCCATGTTGCAAACTGCAACCTTATTTAATCAAGAGGTGTGGCAGTGCACCTTCATCCTAGTGTGACAAAGTTTTTGCCTGGATTACTCTGTTGCTAGCATCATACATTGCATTTCTCTTTTGGGAAATACTAGTTTAGAAAGTGGAAATCGAGGCAGCTTCAGTGTGGATGATAGATGGGTAATGGGGGAGGTATGAAAAATACTCTTGACACCTGGAATGGTTATTCATTAGCTTTCCAGACACACTAGAAACATGGGAAGAGTGTTCTGCTGTGGAGGAATCTGTGCTGTCTTGCAGCAGGCCTCTACACCAAGTTGAAGGATAGGCTTACTCCGTATGAAGTTGTCTGCACAACCTTTGTGTTTTTAGGTTTTTCATATTTTGTGTCTTCTAGATACCGATATGGAAATTGCAGGGTCATTGGGTTTGTATGTACAAATAAGACACAGGACTCTGAAGAATCATGGCATTTGATTTTTGAAAACCAAGAGTGTATGAATGCATGCTCCTATGAAAACCCTGAATTGCAAAAATCATTTGTAGTGGGCTACAGAGGCATTTGACAGATTACGTGCAAGTACATACATGTGTGTTTCATTATTTGATTGCCTTAGGAGACTGGTGTTTAAGTTGGCAGATCTATTTATTAAAAGCAAAGCTCTTTGGCTGGCAGGATTACAGAATGCCAGAAGGAGAAAGAGACCAAATGCTGAGAGAGAAAGAGAGAGAACATGTAATGTGCAGAAAACATGGGGAAGCTATAAAGCCAGCAGGAAAAAGTAGACTTAAATGTGGTTCCAATTTGTTCTATTGGGCTCAAGTTGATAGCCATGCAGAAGTAAAAGCATGAAGTTCCCTCATTTCAATATGAATTTAATGTTTTGGAAAATACAGAGTTCTCTGTCATGTTAAGTTTTGGTCACCTGTTCACAGCCTGTCAGAAATCTTTAATCCATGCTTATTTTCCTGACTCACATTAAAAAAAAAAAAACAAAACAGGTTGCTTTGAAGCTTTACAAAGCACTGTCAGACCATGGCATAAGTGGACACTCTAACAGTCTCTGAAACTTTGTTCTTAGTCTTTATTAGCTTGATGCAAGACTACAGTATTAACTCGCAGTATATGTTAAATTTCTGCATGTAATTTGGTGATATGTAATTTGTAGCTATTTTGGGGAAAGCAAAACAAAAACCAACCCAGTCTTAGTAGTTTAGAACTAAACTATCTTGCAAGGTTTTGGAAGCAGCAGCCAAACAAGTTGAATATGTGAGTCTAGAGAAGTCTACACCTGTGGCCTTGGACTTTCTTGCTCAAGTTGGGTCCCTTCGCAACCTCAGGCAACACTGATTAGAATATTCACTTGGTCCTTTGCATTTTTTATTCTTAGCTGAATGCCATTAGAATAACCAGCCACCTTGCTCTGTCTCCAAAGAGTTCTCAGTTTGAGAGCAAGGCTTGAAATGTGGGAAGCTGACTGATGTAGTGGAACACAAGAAAAAGAGAAGCAGAAGGGCTGGGTCCCCTGAGAGATCAAGAAATATGGCTGATTAGAATATTCACTTGGTCCTTTGCATTTTTTATTCTTAGCTGAATGCCATTAGAATAACCAGCCACCTTGCTCTGTCTCCAAAGAGTTCTCAGTTTGAGAGCAAGGCTTGAAATGTGGGAAGCTGACTGATGTAGTGGAACACAAGAAAAAGAGAAGCAGAAGGGCTGGGTCCCCTGAGAGATCAAGAAATATGGTATTTAAAAAAAACAAAACAAAAAAAAAAAAGCATTTTCGTTTTCCTTAAAACAAGGCCTAGGTTTAGATTGCTCATACCTGATTAGAATATTCACTTGGTCCTTTGCATTTTTTATTCTTAGCTGAATGCCATTAGAATAACCAGCCACCTTGCTCTGTCTCCAAAGAGTTCTCAGTTTGAGAGCAAGGCTTGAAATGTGGGAAGCTGACTGATGTAGTGGAACACAAGAAAAAGAGAAGCAGAAGGGCTGGGTCCCCTGAGAGATCAAGAAATATGGTATTTAAAAAAAAAACAAAACAAAAAAAAAAAAGCATTTTCGTTTTCCTTAAAACAAGGCCTAGGTTTAGATGATTGCTCATACTGATACCTCTAAAAGAGGCTATTAGTGGCACATTTACCATGAAATATTAGAACCCTTTGGGAGGTGGCAGGCTCCTGATTCGCAATTCTGAGTCCTGCAAGAATTAGGTACCTGGTGGTAGGGTAGCAGAGCTTAGGTGAGTTACACTAGCTGTCTGCTGCATCTACCATTTTTGAGGAGCTTTATCTTGTAAAAGCCTCAGTAAAGTTCTCTGAAGATGCCATGGCTGAGCTAATTAGGATACAAGTTTTTCCGGCTTCATGCACAAGTTTGGAGGGGTAAAATTAGAAGGAGAGATAGGTAGAAAGATGCTTGTCCGATGTAGCAGGCAGTTCATGTGAACTACGCTTAAAAATGGAGTCGTAAGCCTGTAAGAATCAGGTCAGTTTAAAATTAATGTATTCCTCTTCCTTCTGTTCTCGACAGGGAGCTGTTTTTTCGGAAGGATTCTCCATCTGGGAGTGAAGTGAGACATCCTTTCCCTTCTTGGCATGGCCCACATTTAAATAAATAAATAAATTCCTTTAAAAAGGTAAAATGAAATGAGAAAGAGGTGTTCCCTTCTAGTAGGGTCAAATAAAGGTAACTCTGGTTCTTTCTTTTGGCAAGATGACCAAGGGATTCCTCTGGAGCACAATAACAAAAACAGACATGTAAGACTTCCTTTTTTTCTCTTCCTCCCCCCCCCATCCCCAGTAGGATAGCAGGAAAACAACCAGGATATACCTGGCCTTTTGACAGAATAGCAGCCAATTCCCAGTCCTTGCTGGCCAGTGTGGAAGAGGGCTTACTCCTTCCAGCCAGCAGCCTTACAAACCTCCACCCATTTCTTAGTGAGTCATAGCTGGAAAACCTTTTCACATGTTTGATCATATCTTGTGCAAGTCAGGGATGTATTTTTACTCCTTTATTGCATCCTATAATCGACATTCTGAAACAACTGAGTGATTGTAGCTTTAAGCTCTGTTTGTACATATGTGGAAATAGAGATGGATGTATAGATAGATAGTGCCATTATATTTTCAGATATGGATGGGTTAGTTAGAAGACTAGCTAACTTTATTGGCAGGAGCAGGGTGGTGGAACAACTGTTTTGGGTTTTTTGTGTGTGAGACCTGTAGAAGCTCTGTACACTTGCAGCACTTAAATATTCAACAGAATAGTATTTTTTGGCATGCTCATTTATACACTCAGTACTCCCCTGAGTTCAGAGGCAGTCAACTTGAGCATTGATCCTGCTCCCCATGAATTTTCTATAGGGAAGTTGGAGAACGTCCACAGCACGTTCCCCTGTGCTGGAGTAGGCCAGTGTAGGGCAGCTGCCTGGTGGCAGAGGCAAGGAAGGGAAGCAGCAGGTCAGAGTACTTCTTGCTTGCCTCTTGAGTCTTTGTAGAGGACATAAAAAGAGCTTCTGCCTCCCCGGCTTCTTCCTTGGAAGAGCAGCTTTCATTTGATCCACCTGAGTTAAAAATCACAGGGGGAACATGTTGTCAGTTCTTAACTGGATGTGTATGTTTTTTTAGTTTGCACAGTCTCTCTGCAGTTTAGGCTTTCCAAGACCACTTACAAAATACTTTCTGCGGTTATTTCAGCCTCTTCTGCTCAGTCTCACTCCTTCACAACACACTGCTTGTTTTCAAGAGGGATACATTTTTCTTTGTTTTAGACCCCAAGAAACTCTTTAATGCTGTAGGGTTGCATGGAGGTTGCAAAAGGATTTCTCTGAGTTGAAGTGCTTAGAATTATGCTTGGGTTTTTTTAAAGAGAGAATTTGCCTCTTGCTTTTAGTCTCTTTGCAAATGAATACTCCCAATGCAGACTGAAATCCTGTTCCATACCTCCTTACCCTGACTTCAGTTAATGTTTGGCTTGCAGACGGTGATGTGAAAAGAGCCAGTTTTTCATGCTAGCTTTTCATTAGCACCATCTTTGTTGTTATTTTCAATTCTTTTTTTACACTTCCAATAAATAGATTTTGCACTATATGAATTTCTGCAATGCAGTATGGTAGACAGTACACAAATAAAAGTCTTTGTCCAGTTGCAGTTAGCCAGCCAGTTGAGACCCTGACTGCTTTGTAAAGGTCCATGAAATTCATTCACCACTTTAACTAAGTGCTAAGATGCTTAGCTAGATGCTAAGATCTAAATTAAAGTTACTTCAGCAGTGGAGTGTGAACAAACAGTCGTTTATGGAAAAGACGTCTTTAAGTTCATGTGTTAAGTACACGTACTTCATATTCTGTGACATCCTTTTTGTATAGTATCTTGATAGTGTGAAATATATTGGAATGAGAAATGAATGCTGACATTGCTATGCAGAGAAATCTCGACAGGTGTATGAGATGGGTGAAAAAATCTTATTACATACAGACTGAGAGTTTTCTTCTTCATCTGAAATTAAAGACGATAGTGGGATTAACTCTCTGTAGACCCAGTTCAGGAATTTCCTAATAATGTTGTTGTTTCTGTATCTATGTCAGATCAGCCCATGGCTTAATGGCTGTAAGGATTAACCCAGTTTTACTTTCTTATAAGAGTGCCTTTCAGCATTGCTGTATTTCTGTTACTACAGCTAGAGCCCTAAGCTTTTTCTTCCCTTTTTTTTTTTTTTAAGAGGAGGAAAAAGGCTTGATTTGAAATACATTAGTTTCCAGAATAAAAAAGCCCTTCTGATGCTGAACTGCTGTTACCATTGTTTGCATTTTTTTTTCTGGGTGACTGCTATACACTTATTATTTTTAACTTTCTGTGTACTTATAAATGTTTCCCATAATTCCCAAAAGATGAAGGAGCTGTTTTGGCTTTTATCTGTCAGCAGCTTCTGCCAGTGCTTTTATGTAAATCTTCTAGATCTAAACAACTTGACTTCTCAAGCACAGTAATACACAATATCTTTTTCTTGCAGTAGTGAAGTGCTTATTCTTTTCCTCTCTATTGCTTGCCTGTGGATAGTTTGAGGGGGATTTGTTGGCATTTTTTCCCCCATTAGTTTCTCCACAGCAAAAAGGTAGTAAAACAAAGTATTCTTTCAGAGCAAAACAACGTACTGTCCTGAATTTTTATGTATTGTGATTATTGAATAAAAAGAGTATGTTTTAAAATATGCTTCTCAGGCAGAGTTATTATCACAAACCAGTGATGGCCTTGTGTAAGAAACAAATCCATGGTACCAACAAAAAGGAAACAGCAGTAAGGAACAGGGGTCCTTTACAAGTGGGACAGGTCATTCTGGAGCGAGTTCCAGCATTCCCAGTATCTCACAGTGAATGTCCATCCAGCAGTCCTGTCTCGGTTACAAAGAGCATATGCTGCTGGAGCACCATTATTAACCATCACCATGGTTATGTGGAAAGGGAATTGAGGTTAGTAGTCTTGGTAGGTTAGGGCCAAACTACAGAAGAAAATACATGTCACTGCTTTTTAGGTAAAAACGGTTCCAGCACGGGAACTCACGTGATCTGTGAAGTTTTACCTGATGGAGTTCATTGAAATCATCTCACCATGACTCTCCACTAGCTGGCCAGAACTAAAATTTTCAAGTGCCTCTTGAGATGGACATCAGCATTCCTTCCCTTAAAAGACAGGCAGCTGTCTCTCTCTTATGTGACAAAGGTTTCCAGGAACAACCGAGTACGTTTTTCCTTCCCCACTTGCTAGGAAGAACTCGAGAACAAGTTGTGGAGCAAAGTACTCTTGCATGGGAAGCCGAGTTGAGCTAATAGAAAATTCAAGTTTGAAGGGGAAAGTAAACAGGAGAATATGAGCCTACTAGGTGACCATGTGTCCTTGTACAATCTAGATAATGCTCCAGGTAATAAATACCTCAACTCTCCAGCTGGGTTCTGTCGCTTGAGAGCACTAGGCTTTGTGTGCTGAAATGGGCAGAGTAATTTCATGGGAAGAATGCTATGTCATTATGTGGAAAGAGACGAAAGGAAGAACTCAGATTCAAATTGTACATGCAGTCTTAGTTCTTTGTTGTCTTAAGTTTTGAGTGCTTGACCTAGTGGTCTTGATGCTCTTCTAATGTAGTTTTCTTTATTTGTCTGTGTAGTATAGCAGGCATCAGACAGGGGGAGCTTTGCTGCTGATTGCTTGTAGAGTGACTGTAGTAAAATACCATGTAAATGTATTAACTTACATATAGTATCTTGAAAATAAATTATGCTTTTACTAGAGTTTCACTGTTCCTTTTTTAAAAAAAAGTCTAGAGTGCAGAAGTTAATAGAATATCATGGCTTTAATATCCTTGGGAAAGACGAGGTAGAGTTTGTGGGAAGGCAGCTGGCATCAATTCTAAGACATAGCTTAGTTAAACCTCCCTTACTGGTCTTATGATTTGTTTGTAGAGAACTATCACAAGTTTGTTCTGATTCTGATAAGGGCTTCTAGGTACTACTACTACTGCAATCTGGATATTTAATGACAACAATAACCCTGAAGGTTGCGCTGGGAACCTAATAAGTAGGTCACAAGGTGCAGCTGCCAGTGGAACATGCTGTTTGTCCTCACACCTGTGCTATCCACACTACACTTGAATATTCAGTGTCATATATTTTCCTTCTTGATATCATGTATGGTTTCATGTCAAACCACTGCCAGAAGCTGGAATGGTAAGTTTTTCATTGCCAGTTAATATCTCTGAGGAGAACTGAGCAGAATTACTCAAATTCTTGTAGAGCTCAGCTCTTTTCTAGCCCTGGAGCAGCAATCCTGAAGGAGGAGGAGGGAATATAACAAGCCCAACTTGAAAGAGTTAATGTTTTGCACTTCACTGGGTCCAGCTTCTTGGTTGACCCTGTCCTGTCCCTCCCTTACTGTCACCTCTGTCATCATCTCCTTGCTTGTAGAGATGCAGTAACTTGGTACCCACGCCACATTTTATCTCTCATCTTCTAATATCTCTGACTGAAAACTGCTGGCAGGGAACCTGCAGACATCAACAAGACACAAAAAATAGGTGTTGGCTTATTAAAATACTTTCTTTCTTCGTCCTCAGAATCACGCTCTGAGGATTGTACTGGCTCGTTCTGTTTAGAGACATTAACCTGCTCTTCTATTTAAAGTGATGCTCTAGGGACTGCGAGAACACTGCTACCCGCTGTGCTCCTGCACGTCACACAAGGCTTGGGGTGATCCGTGAGAATGAGGGGTGCGAGGAAATTAAGCATCAGTCTGCCATCACTGAGAAAAGCGTGGGAAGCCTCTAGCCACGCGCTGTGCTCCAGACCACTGGAAGGAGGTGAGACGCACGTCTCCCGGAGACCGGCAGTAACAAAGCCCCGGTGCCACCCTGCTTGGAGTTCAGCTCCAGTGGTGTCTGGCCTGGGCCCCCTCTGTGCTCCTCAGCTTATTGAGTGCTTTCATCTACTTAGAAGCAGAAGGCATCTTTTACTACATTCTTGCTTATTTCTTATTTTACTGTTTCTGCTTATCTCACAGCTCTTTGAAAGAACAGTTGAATAAGCAGGCTGTTTTCACATCTCTTCCTTGGGTTTTTTGGGGGGTTTCTTTTGCGAAACAGTTTATGCATTATGTATGGCATTACAATGCAGTGTACTGCGTGCCAGAATATTGCACTTAGTTAATATTTTTTTTTGTAAGCCTTGCAATTTTTCCTCAGAACAGGGCTGCTTGTTTCTCTAATTATGTTAATACTAATTGTAAATAGTTGCAGCCATTTCAAATCCTAAATTCAGTTCTAGTTTGAAAAGGAGTATTGCAAAAGCTCACCCACAGAGGGAAGCAGAATACTGTCTACAACAGTCTTAACGACAGGCTGCTTTTTAAAAATGATCTGTGCGTCAGTTGAAGCCAACAAAGAACATCTGTTGTCTTATTTATAGTTCCTATTTCTAAGAAGTATATTCTGTAGCAGATGAGAAAAGTCCCTGACAGCTCATAATTCATAAAGTTACTGAGGTTTAATCTGATAGAATATTATGTACAGAATTCCTTCCCAGTACAGACAGTATCACTTCCCTTTTAACAGATGGTAGAAATAGGGCTTTATGAAACGTTAAATTAATAGGTGTGAAACATGATTAGCAGCCACGATTAAAAGTATTAAAGTATTATAAAGGAATATAGTATTCAACGCTGTGTTGCTTGGTGGTTTTATTCTTCTGCTTATTTGTGCAGCTAAACTTCCCTCAAGCTAAACACCATCTTTTTTTTTCTTTCTCTCTGCACTTTAATTTTGTTTTGTCTTAGAGGAATTCTTTGTTGATTAATGCAGCAGCTCTGTGACAAACATTCATTTTTGTGTCAGAGAAGGGTGAAGAGACCCCAGGCTTCTTTTGGGAGAATTGGTACATTATACATTATGACTTTCTATATCAAATCAAAGCTTTGTTCCATCTAGTTCTGCCATCTATTGTTTATAGATTATTTTCTTGCGCTAATCTGTATTTGCCTGGGCTTGTTCCCCTTCTGTTCCCATAGTTGCCCCTATTCTCCTTAGCCCTGAGAGTGCAGCTGGTGCAACTTTATAAATGGGGATGAAGAGAGTAATTAGTTCTCCCAGCCCCGCAAACTTCCTGTGTAATCACTGTGCACATGATATTTTATCAATCAGATCATTGCTTGCATATATGTGCTGATAACCCTGGAAAGTATCTAGGCAAAGTATTTGACTTGTCTCAGTTACGGCATTGATTTATACAGGTGACTATGTCTTTTTCCACATATTATGTGTAGCCAGGATAAAATGAAGTAACACTCAGTTTTTATTCTGACTCTCCTAGATTCAGTGGGTTGGACTATAAATGGCCCAGTCATAATATACATACATTTGTCCTCCTGGAAAAATGACTGCCTGGCCTTATTCTGTTAAGTGCCACATATATTACAACAAGTTGTGTACATTTTTCTACAAAAGTCAGTTTGAAATGCCCCTTTTTCAAGCTTATAGGTGATGTTGTCAGTACCTACCTCACGCAGATGATTCTGGAAGTGCTGGCTTTGTGTTTTGGGTGGTGCGCTGGGACTGACTGGAGTTCAGAAGGTCATGCAGGTGAGAACTCCTGCAGTCATCATCCTTTGGAATAAGCCCCTTGGAAAAGTTCTTGTCACTCTGTACTACTGATGTAGGATCACAGCAGAAATATGGATGCTTTAAAAAGCTATTTGAAGTCCAGAAGCATATTAACAGAGTACTGTTTATCCATGAGGGTTAAATGTTGTCATTGAGATGCCCTGGGAAGGGTGTTCTGCTTTATTCAGGTGTTTCTCCATTGAAGACAAAGGAGAAAGAGGAGTGACAGCTGGTGTGATAAACCAGTTTTTCAGTACAGATCTGTATTTCCTTCTGTGGCTAAAATCTTCAGTGTACCATTAACAGAGAACATCTGAATGAAGTTGTCACTTCGTACTCTAGTTCATGCCCAACACCTACTGACCGATGGAAGAAGTAGACTGTGTTGGCCACATAGTACTGAAGGATTTTAGAATTGGCAGTATTTCAATCCAGCTTCCCAGTTGTACTCCAGTCATGTAAGGTCACCAGCAGGCATCATTTCCCTATTCCTTTTCATAGCTCTGGGGTCATTCATATCACAATAAATCTTGACTCACAGACATTTTTCTGCCTTCATAAAAATGGGCTTCTTGTGAGCCCAAAGGCTGATAGTGTTGGTGGGCCAGACCATTCCTTTTTCTAGTGCTGGGATAGTCTTCACCTCTCTTCATTTCTCCTGGATCTAGTCTCCTTTGACTGCCAAGGCTTCTGTGGTATTCTGAGTCTGCAGTCTGCCCGATTGACGACACCTGATAAAAATAAAAGACAAGTAATAGTAGACAGACTTATTAAGCCACTTGTAATGATGTGTCAAATTCACTGAATCTTAAATCTCTTTCATATTTTTCCATGAATAGTGCTGTCTTTTAAAAATCTTCTAATGAAACCAGTACTGGAGAAGGTGGTTGAGCGCTGAACAGCTCTTACTCCTGCTGCTTTCAGTGATGCTTTCAGTCTCTAGGAGAATTAACTATAGCCAATCTAAATTATCTCAGGTCAGCATGGTCTAAGGAGAGGTATTTTTCTCTTCCAACAGTTGCAGCTGAATTTACTATCTATTGCAGTCCTCGATTTATCAGAGACACACAGTGACATCAACTTCTTTGTCTTCGCTCTCACCTTCTTGTCTTTCATCCTTGCCCAGTGAAAACCTTTTGCTAATAGCAGTTGGGCAGTTCTGAACACTCTGCCTGTTCTTTTGGTAAATGCAATTAGTCTCTCTGAAATTGCAAATGGCAAGGCAAGGTTATGATCCTCAAATCTCAGTTAATTTCTCTCTGGTATTTATTTGTAATGCCAGACTCATCTTTTTGTGCCTTGGTCTGGCATTGAAGCCGAAGCACAGATCTTTGTGGAAACTTTCTCCATAGGGTTTAGGGTTTTTTTAATCTTTCATACTGTTCTACCAAAAGTTTCTGCAGGAACTTTCTGCTTCTTAAGTCTATAAAGAAACATATAATGGATGATGAAATGCCCTCTCACTAAAAGTTAGGAGTTTTGTGTCAGTAAGAGTTGTTTCACTCTGTGACGGGTTTTGAGGCTCAAGTAGCCTTTCTTCCCCAGCTGATGAAAGCAGGTGCTGAGGGGGCCACGATGGCTGAGACTCTGCATCTGGACCAGCTGCCACCACAGGGCTGTGAGAAGCATCGGGCTGTGCCGTCATCCGTGTGGAGGTACCTCCTGGTTACACTTCCACTGTTACAGGATCTGAACTCGTGTTTCCACAGGCATGGCTTTTGGTGTGTTCTCAGCGCAGTCTCCTGAACCACTGCTGTCTTTGGTCTGGGGGTCGCTAGCAGTCAGCACACAGGAGTACATGGGACTGCCTCAATTCATACCACTGCCTTAAAGGCTGTGCAGGAATGCCAAACTGCCCTCGTTTCCAATGCATCTTCACTTGAATTTGACATCATATACTGACAAGTGATTTAATTCAGCCATTATAGATCCTTATTGAAATTCAGATTCTATTTCAGGGAAGATGGGTGATAATAGTGGAACATTTTTTGAATTCCATTTCCCATACCTAGTAGAGTACACAACTGCTGAAATATCAGCATTTCAATCAAGAAAGCAAGCTCCCACGTTTCCCAGAATTTTCAATAGCAAGCATGAGTGTTGAACTTGTGGATAAACCTCCATTGTCCACAACTTGTCTTGCATTGTGCCACTGATGGTACCACTGGCAAAAGTATTTTAGGTGCTTGATCAGCCATTGTTTCTTTATAGTTTGCTGGCTAATCTTGTTGGAGGCATTATTACAACTTGCTTGACAATGACCCTTACTTTTGCATTTCTTATTCTGCATTAATTAATATGCTTATGTTTATTATAGTTAATTTCAGTGCTGGTCAAACCATTCACACTTGGACATGTTGTATGACTTTCAAACAAGGATATGTGTACATCTATGAATGCACAATTCGCTATGTTAGTGGATAGTTGCATGCATAAAGAGTATATCTGCATGCACATAAGCCAGTTATGATCATCTTAAGACCTGAGCTCTCAAATATTAGACGTTTATGTAGAGCTGTGTTGTCATCAAATGCAATATGTATGCACAAACTTAAATGCCATTTCTGAAAAAAGAAGAACGTGCATGGAGTAATCTTGACTCAAAGCTAAATTCAAATAATGTTGGTATATAGTTCCTGTAAAATATTTAGAAATTAAACTGCTTTCTATGGTGTGTAGTTACATTTTAAGTTATATTCTTTTTTTTTTAATACTAATTTTCATTCTTCTTCTAGTAGTAATGAAAGATTTGGCTCAGAAGCATTTGAAGTCAAATTGCAGCTTTAAATTTCCACTTGTCGTTGCCAGGTACTAACTCTAAAATAACTCTTTTTACTGAGAACCCTTCCAAAAGGTGCAGCTGTGTGCTGGTTTCATCTTGCACTTTGTAGCTGTGTTGGCAACCCTCGAACGTAAGGTATGCTCTCATTTCCCACATGGTGCCGTTGCCTTAGAGCTGTTTAGGCCTGTCTGTATCAGGGAGAGGGAAGAGTTTGCAGATTGGAGCGAATGCTGGCTTCTGGTTCATCTCATTGGTTCTCACTGTGGCAAGGTAAAAATAGAGCTAGTGGAAAATCCAGCTTTTATCATGTGTTATCAGAAGCTTCCTTACTATCTGGAGACCCACTACCAGACTTGTGACTAGAAAGAAGACACGAAAACTGTATGACAGCTTTTCGGAACCTTAATATTTTGGAGACCGTGGAATTTCAAAAAAATTACCGGAATTTGGGGGAAAAAATGATTGCTTTAAGTGAAAAACTGATACTGGATTGTAGCAAAGGGATCTACAAAGTTGCTCAGATTCTTAAGAGTGGATTTGGTTCTCCAAACCTCTGTGCTGTGCTACAGCATGCTTCAAAGCAAAAGATACTTTTGAAATCAGGTACTAAATGCAGATTGCATGTGGGCTTTTGTTCTCTTCTCTTTTACTAAAACTCACCTACCTGAAAAGTTTTCCTTTTCCTCTGTAGATCTTAATACGCATGCTGAGTTTTCTTCTGGAACACCTAATCTAGAATCAGGACTTCTTCAAGGATATCTTGTTTTCTGGCTCTGGGAGTCAAATTGTTTTTTTTTTTCAAAATTAGGTGTCGTTTTCTTCAGTTTAGCCTCTGCCATTTCCTCTCAGCATTTTGAAATTGAAGGGCACTGTTCCCAAACTTGGCTGTCTTCTGTGCAAATGTTATAAACTGGCTTCAGTTCTATAAGTACTGTTAATTCTTTTTTTTCCAACAGATGTGTGTTTCGTGAGGCCTTTCGCCTTTAACTGAACATAATTTTCTATTTTGTATAAAAGTTGGGGAGTTTAAAGTACAAGTCAGTATGATGCTGTGAGTTAATTATATTGGAGATGGCGCAATGCGTAGGAAATCCTAGAACAGGTGGGAGGTTAAGTGATTTTGATTTGTTAATGCCATCTCCTACATGCTGATGAAGTGAATGTTTTTTTCAATGTTGCTGAGCACTATACCTGTGTGACTTAGATGTATCCTTCTGTCACTGCTGCATTGAAGGTAACAGCAGGTTTTGTACCTGCCATTGTGTGTGTGTTTGTGTCTTTTTGCTGTAGAGCTTATACTCACCAGAGTGTGCATATAGTATTAAGAGAGGTGAATATCCTAAGTTTTCAGTCAAATACACAAGTATTTTACAGTTTATGTATTTATGGAATAGAATGTCATTATTTTAAAGGCTCTCTTCATATCTAAAAGTTCAGTAATGTCTCTGGTAGATAGACATTTCCAGACTTGGAGAAAAGGGCTGTAGGGAGGAAGAGGCATCAGAAATCCTCTGAACTCCTAAAATTTTAGTATTTTTCTAATTGCATATTTTAGGGTAGCAGAGGAGTGTTGGAAATCTTTCCTTTTAACCAGTGTGACATTTGCTTTACATACATATGTTCTGTAGACATTATAGATTTTTGCATAAATATAATGGTAAATGCATAGCTTCCAAAAGCCTTTCACTTTCCCTAAGAATATTATTGATCCAAGAATACTGTACAGCAAAGAGATTCAGTAACAGATTATGATACAAACCTAGTTTATAAGCTAAGATCCTGCTTAAAGTGTAGGTGAAAAGCATGGAGCGTCAGGTAGGTTGCAGGAAGAGACACTCTCTGTTTAGATAATCTGGATAACGTCTACATCCACCCCATTCTTTATGTCCCATGGAGACAAACCATTTTCTGTAGTGTCTTTCTCCACCCTGCAAGGGCTTCTACCCATGAGCTGAAGTCCTCCCCTGACATTGCGTTCTCCTTTTTCCTTTGCTTGGACTTCATCCCTCATGTAGAAAATCTAAATCTAGTAGGAAATTGAGTTCTTTTTCTAAATACACCTTGTTTATAGGTACTTGAGTGTATCTCTTGCCATCATTTCAAGGCACAGTTTGGTTAATGCGAGAAAGTATCATTCTCTCTGCTGCTTAGTAGCCTGGATGGACCATCCCTGAACTGCTGAGCTGTCACCTGAAATGTTTCAAATGTCTGTCAGGTTTGACTTCCGTCCTCTATCTCTATTTCTCCTTCTTTGTCTCTCCTTTCTTTCCTCAGTTTCAGTTAAGACTGTTGACTGTTGCTGCACGCTGCCTCCAGCTGGAATTATGAGATGAGCAATTTGTTCAGAGATGATGCAATTTCATTGCTGTTATGCAAGAGGGAGAAAGGTACTTAATGTAACTAGCTACCTAAGGGAGTTACTCTCATAAGTAAAAATACGTAAACTCTGTTCTTAAAACCTGTTCTTCCTCTGCTACCATGTAAGGGATGCACTTTATGCCCTTAGCATTCTGTGAATCTATTGGTATCTCGTAATTTGAGTATTTTCATAGCATACCCTTTGGTATGACTCTGATCTGATCTTTCATTTATTCTTTCAATAGATTTGCCCTCATCATGAGACAGATTCATAGTCTGGGGTTGAAAGGAACTATCTGATCTGAATATTACAAATCAAATGGTCCATATTTCAGCATGCCTCAGCAGAGGCTGCTTGGAGTGCAGCATCTTCCATTTGAGCCCAACTTGTGTTTGATAAAGCACATGTGATGTTAAGCTAAAAGAGGTGTTCTGATGGAACCTGAAAGTGGTTTGAAAAAGAATTGAAAAGTCCATTCCTT